GTTCCATTTTGCCAGGAGGGTTGCCATACCTGCTTGATCATGCCATAGCTTCCGGCGCGCTCTGTTGAAGGTCTCCCGCTTCCATTGAATACGTAAACCCTAAACCCCTACTTGGAGGCCCAGGGGACTTAGTAAGTAGGTCTAAGTAGGTTATACATAGGGTTATAAGTACCTTAAATGGAGTTACCCCAATTCTAACCCGACTTATAACCTTCTTACTAAGTCCCATGGGCCGTTAAGTAGAACCTAGACCTTGCGTGCTTACTTGAAGTAAGCTGAGCTTCGAGGCAACCCGGCGGCTAGCTGTCGCCTCCGATCCCACGCAGTAACTTACATCAGCAGCCGAGAAGTAGCCATAAACTTTCCAAGACACTGCCAGAAATAGGAAGAGCAACAATGACTGCAATTGAGACTGTAGGCAGTCCCTAAAAACTAAGACTTGCCACCAAAACCCCAAATCAGGTCCAACTTGCCGACGACCGACTTGTCGCTGATCTGGTGACATGACGGCAGAGTTGCTCACATTTCTGTGGTTCTTCATGACTGCTTGTCAAGGGTTGTTGTGTTGTGGGGGTGTGGGGGGGTGGGTGGGTGGCTTTGCGATTTAGTTGAGTGGTTTTGTGGCGGGGGAGCAGGCCGGAGGGGAGCGGGTTTAGGGGTTCAGGGTTTTAGGGTTGCGAGGCGAGGGAGTAGGTGAGGCCAGAATAGGATCCGACTTGGGTAATGAGTTCGCTAAGAGAAGCAAGCCCTTGTATCCAGTACGCCAGCACAGAATCGAAAACTTGGCCCCTAAACCCTAAACCCCAAACCCTAAACCCGTAAAAGCCTAAACCCCAAAACCCTAAGCCCCAAACACTAAACAAACAAAACCTAAACGTTAAACGCTTATACTCCTAAACCACTAGAACCTCCAAACCCCTTAAACTTACCCTAGACCCCCCCAAGCCCCAAACCCCCAAACCGCAAACCCCCAAACCCTAAACCCTAAACTTCAAAACCCTAAACCCCCCCTAAGCCCTAAACCCTAACCGAGGCGCCTCTGTGCCTCCAGCGCGTCTGGACTGACGGCCCCGGAGTTTCTCGCAGCGCCACTGGGCGGGCAAACCTGTTGGTGGGCCAGGAAGAAAGCACGATGTAATGTGGAGGGTTTCCGAAAATATGGGGCTTAGGGTTTAGGTTTTAGGGTTTGGAGAAAGCACGATCACATGTACTGTAGGGGCCTTTGGGACCATTATACTATACTCTTAAACAGGAACCCCCAAAATAGTATTGGTAATTATAATGTAGGGGCTTTTATGTTCATTAGAACAGGGTTTAGAGATTGGGGCTTTTTTGGACTATAGGATTCCATGACAGGGTCCCCTCAAAAGGGCTTTATAAGTCGATAACAGGGTCCCTTTAGAGGGTACTATACGATGTAATGTAGGGGCTTCAATATTAATCAGAATAGGGTCTATGGGATTTTTCTACAGTTTTTTACGGAACTCAATCCCCTATTCTAGAGTCAAAATCGCTCGGCCACGGCCGTGTTGAAACTAACATGTTCCTGATGATTCTGTCATGGGCATAATCATGGCACAGTGCAGTATATTCGTGTTTAGGGTTTGGGGGCTCAGAGTGTTACGCACATCACACACACCAGGAGCAAGAAAGAGGATAGCCGACGGGAGAGACTACATTGGAGAGCGTAGTGGAAAGGTCGTCAATGCAAGTGTCTGATCAATGGGGTCTGCCCTAAACCCTAAACCCTAAACCCTATACCCTAAACCCCTAAACCCCTAAACCCCTAAACCCCTAAACCCTGAACCCTAAACCCTAAACCCCTAAACCCCTAAACCCCTAAACCCCTAAACCCTCAACCCTAAACCCCTAAACCCCTAAACCCCTAAACCCTCAACCCTAAACCCCTAAACCCCTAAACCCCTAAACCCTAAACCCCTCAACCCTGAACCCTAAACCCTAAACCGAAGCACTTCTGCAGAATCATCCCATGGCTACGCACGGAGCCCTAAACTCCAAAGCCCGAAGCCATAAACCCCAAAACCCTGAGACATCCTGAACTGGGCTTTGGAGTACCATACTTTAATACTTTTTTTCTTAATGGAACCATTATGAAATAAAAGTTTATACTTTTTTCTCCCTGGTTACTTAAAAGCCCAGTGAAACCCTAAACCTTCAACCTTAAAACCTCAAACCCTAAAGCATCCTAAGACCCTAAACCCTCAAACCCCAAAGCCCTAAACTGCTCTCATTGCTTTTGGGCTGTTCCGGACCCATAGGAGCTCAAAGCTTGATCCAGCTGTGGAATAATGCATTACCCAATTATCAAGAATTGGGACTTGGGGTTCAGGGTTTAGGGTTTAGGGACCCTCCTGGCACCCGCAAACAGAGTCATGTTTCCCCAAATCATGGGCATTTAGGGTCTAATAATGTGTAGATGGAGTTAGAACATACCTTGCCTATTTTTCGGCTATCGGCTCCACCCACCCCAAAGCGATAAATATTTATCCTAAGACATTACTTATTCCCAAATACCCATATCCACCTAGGTGCCATAGCTCAAACTAGGCAAGGGGGTCTTATAGAATTTAAGGTTTAGGTTTGAGGTTACGGGCTATCGTTGTTTTTTTTCGGGGGGGAGAGGGCGCCAGGGCATCGTCAGTAGAACCCTAAACCCTGAGCCCAGCTCTTCTGTCTACTGCTCGGACATACTTAGAGGATCATGGGACTTAGTAAGTAAGTTTTCATTGGGGTTATAAGTCCCCTAAGTGGGCTTATCATAACCTACTTATAACCTTACTTACTAAGTCCCATGAGCCTTCAAGTAGTCCCTAAACCCTTAATCCTTAAAGGGAGCCCTCTATACCTTAAAAGGGACCCTTATAAGCCCTACTTACTAAGTCCCATGAGCCTTCAAGTACACAAACAAGCTGAACTCTTGCCTTCCCTTCCGAGGATGGTTTTGGCTCGACAGAGGAGGCCTTGTGCTTGCAGAACTTCGAGGTAGGAGTTTCTGAAAATTAGGGGTACTTGATTTGGGGTCCTTATAATAAGGATCCTACTAATTCGGGCACTATTTTAGGGTCCCCTGTTTTCGGAAACTCCCATGTAGGCTTAAGGTGCTTGATTGGAACGAGAGTTGCGGCTGAAGGCTAAAGTGACTGGGTACGGTTCAGAATTTCGGGTATTTAGGGCAAAACGTAACGTCGCGATATCGCATTCGAAGACTGCAGTGATAGTCATACACTTGCCTATATGAAGAAGCATCTACATCGTTGTCACCATCATGAACTTCAACAAGTCCAGCACCAGCTTCACTACCATGTTGTCACATGATGCCACATGATGTCGTCAGCATCAGTAGTAGTAGTAGTAGTAGTAGTAGTAGTAGTAGCAGTAGTAGTAGTAGTAGTAGTAGCAGTAGCAGTAGTACTAGAAGTAGTAGCAGCAGTTGTAGTTGTTGTTGTTGTCGTATCAGCTGCAGGAGCAGTCGTAGTAGTAGCAGTAGGAGGAGGAGGCAGGGAAGGAGTGGCAGAGTACAAACAAGCACCAAGACAAAAGTGGGTTGTGCTAATGACGATGGTCATGGTGTCATGGTACCGTTTTAGTGAGACCGTGAAATCTGTCGCCATGTGGACGGTCGCGCGCAGAGATTCAAGCTAGCATGCCTTGCCGCAACAAAGCATTAGTTAGGCGAAGATGGAGACGTGTGTCGATCAAACGATAGGCCCAACAATTTCAACAAGTGCCCCACATGTCTGCTGTACCAGCAGGAGTCAGGATTACGATGACACATCGGATGTTGAGCCCGCACGGCTTTCCGTACAGTCGCAAAATGGGTTTCTGATTTCTTTGTAAGATATCCCTGAGATGCGACTCACCGACTTAGCACCGTGTCTTGGGATTGCACCCTTCCTGGCGCAACATCAGCAAGTTCCGTTCTCGGCTCGAAGTATGTTTTGACAGGCACGATTGCTAGGTAGAATTCTGGGACTGAAAGGCAATCATGGAAGTTCCAGATGCTCGCATCGAGCCAGTCGATGATGCTGGGCACTGTCAGGAGATGTTGCGGGTTAGTTAGTACCCTTGTTCCCTTTCTGTAGTCCTAGAATTCCCGATAAAGTTACCCAAAGCAAAAAGGGAGGTTTATTCCTAGGTTGCTGGGCATCTGAGTCATTGGGAGTCGATGCTTTACCCAAAGCCGCAAATCCCAAATGTCAGCGTGCTCCTGGTACCTTTGGCTGTCGTTAAAACTTAAAAACTTAGTGATGCACACCGCCTGGCGCCAAGATCGACCAGGGCGTGGGCTCAAGGTTGAAGTGCCCCGCGCTGTGCCTGAAGTCAGGAAGGTGAACCGCAAGGTCATCAACCCTCAAGCCAAGTGTAGTTCACCAGAGTCCCAAAGTAAAAACCCTATCGCCTGATCCCTAGACGTACCCTAGGCATAAAATGCCTCACGCCACAACTGAGGAATTTTGCACAACTTTGATTCTTCGGGGACTCAACCGGCAGATTACCCGAGAGATGATTGTCGGACTGGTGTGCTCCGGCAGCAAGGGTTTAGAGTTTCGGAGCGTTTTTGGACGCTGATGCTGAGGCTGGCACTGCTGCGACTGCTTGTGGTGTTGATGCGATGTTTCGATGATGATTATGATGATGTTGATATTTATGATGAAGATGGCGATGATGATGATGATGTTGATGACGCTGCTGATGATGATGAAAACGATGATGATAAAGTATCTGGTGGTGATGGTGGGGGGGATCATGAAGATGACGTTTACTTCAAGGGCGACAATGGTGAGGGCCACATTTTATGATGAAGAAGAATATTGTGATGATGATGATGATGATGATGATGATGACGATGGCAATGATGTCGTCTATGTCGTGAAGACGTCGCACTTGGCCGAGGTGTTTGCAGCTAAACTGTTTGATTTCCAACACGTGTGCTTGTTTTATCAATATGGACATTTCTGTATGTCTGTCTGCGTGTCTGGGCGTGGGTATGTGTATGATGGAGTTTATGTTTGGGTATATATGTATATGTTTATTGTATGTATATTACCTCATATCATGCACCTATACATGTTGTCCATATCTAGATACTAATCTGTGTGTGTGTGTGTGCGTGTCTGTGTTTGCGGTTGGGGTTATTTCTACAACAAGCAGTTGAGAAGTCTGGTGAGGTCCTGTTGACCGTGTACTGAGCGTCACCCAGACGAATCACCTTTTTTTCACCTCTCCTTATTCTCCTTGCAGAACACTTCGGGCTTGCAGCTAGCCCAAATGCAAACCCCTGGTGGATTAAACCCATCCCTTACAACGCGAGAATCATTGATATCCCAGCCGTACGGCCTTTCCGAAGGGGTGCTTGTGTTATCGGGGGGGGGGGGGGGTCTATATCAAGGCCCCAGGCCCATCAGTCCTAATCGCGAAACGAAGCCATCATCAGGGCTTGTAGGTTCGAGGGTTTAGGGGTCCAGAGTTTAGGGTGTTTAGGGATGCAGGGTTTCTGACATGCCTCAACCCCCCGATTCCTAACCCGATGGATATCGAGCTGTGTCGAAAGACCCCATAACTGCACAAACTTCTCAACATCAAAGCTTACACGGGCCCTCATGAAGAAATACATCGGGCACCATGGGGCCTGGTTCTCTTTTTCTGTGCTTTTCAGGTATGTTAGGATTCAAAGTCTACCGTAAGCTGGAATAACCTACCTTTATAGGGTTCCGTATTATGATTTCCTTATATAAGTCCTTAGAAAGGTAGGTTATTCCGGCTTCAGGTAGGCCTAAGCCTCGCAGACCAAAGACATCCCTGACACGCGCAAACCTCACATCCCGAGGCCCAGATCTCAAGTTCCCCACCCACATGACCCGAATAGCCCTAAGCCCCCTAAACCCCATAACCCGAATAATTCTAAAACCCTAAGCCCCATATCCCGAATAGCCCTAAACCCCATAACCCAATCCATGAAAACCTGAACATTTCGCACCAAAAAACTGCTTCTGATGATCATGGCAGCAACTTTTAGCCCTCGAGCCCTCTAGTCCCAACCGTCGCCTTGCCACCACTGTCAACTCTAATCATCCCCAGGAGCCCTAAAGCACTAAAGCAGTAACACAACAACAAACCTGAGGATGCCCAGTAGCACCCTTAGGTTCCTTATAAAGTTACCCGATACCAAAAAGGGAGCCCTTTTTATTCCTAGGTTACTGGGCATCCTAGAACCCAACAAATCCTGTAAAGAGACCTTTTCTTGGGGTCCTTATAAGAAGGATCCTACTATTCAGGGGTACTATACTGGGTCCCCTATTGTCGGAAACTCCCAACAAATCCTGTAAAGAGAAGCGGCTCCTCACCAGGGAAGACACTTCACCAAATTGGCACTATGCCAAGCCGCCTGTTGAGCACGGGGAGGGTGGTTTAGGGGTTAGGATGCGGGTTTAGAGTTTAGGGCTTTAGGGCTTAGGGTTTTGGGGTTTAGGGGTTAAAAGTTTAGGGGTTAGGATTAGAGTTTAGGGCTTTGGGGCTTTAGGGCTTAGGGTTTGGGGGTTTAGTGTTTAGGGGTTAAAAGTTTAGGGATTAGGATTAGGGTCTAGGATTAGGGTTTAGTTAGGGTTTTGGTTTCAGGATGTGGAAGTTAACACGAGCACTAGGAGCGCGCAGACGATTCGGAGGTTCGCCTTGAGAGTGGCAAACTTAGCCTTGCATCAATACGAACTGCGGCGAGGTTTGTTCTACCAACGAAGACTGTTGGCTGAGACACAGGTCCTACAAACGACGACGGCCGTACCGAATCCATGACCTCTGTTATGGCCATTGCTCCTATTGTTTGTTGTTTTATTACCCTGAACCCTAAACGCCCGAAGCCCTATACCCTGAACCCCAAACTCCCGAAGCCAAAAATGGAAGACTCCCGAAGCCGTTGTTAGTGTTTGATTGGCATGGCCGTTCAGGACTTCGAGTCTGAGGTTGAAGGTTGAGCGCTTCCAGCTGCGGGCTTTGGGTTTAGGGCTTCGAGGGCGATTTGGGGGTTTTGGCATTGGGGTTTTGTGTTCCTAAACCCGAAACCCTAAACCCCGAACCCTAAACCTTCTGGGTGTTGGTGCTGGGGTTCAGGGCCCGAGGTTGAGGGTTCAGGGCTTGGCCTTGGGGCTTTGGGGTTTCGGGGCTCCAAAATAGAAGCCTCAACAAATAGTACTACTATTTCATAGAGTTCCTTACTACATATAATCATACTATCTATATATCCATATATATATATATATATGTATATGTATATGTATATATACAGACACACACACACACACAGACATACCCCAAAAGCCTTATTCTAATTAGTGAGACCCCTATACTCGCGTTTTTGCTTGTGAACCTTAAACCCTAAGCCCTAAACCCTAAACCCTAACCCCTAAACACTATAAACTCTAAGCCGAACACCCGAGGCATGATTATATCTACGTGCCGTGGAGCTGCGATGGCGCTTCAAACATTGGTCTCGCGTGACTTGTCGTTGTGGTTTACTATAGTAAGGCTCCTGTAAAGGGGTATATATACGGGCTACCATAAGGGCTATCATAAGGATTTGGGAGAGGGGCCTACAAATCATTTCGAATACTATTTTGGGGGTTCCTTATTCTAATTATAGTATAATGGGCCCCAAAACCCCATTCTACTTATTAAGGCCCCTATAGTAAGCTGCCCTAAAAGCCTAGTTCATCCTTACTGAACCTGAAATCCTATGTGCATGCACATCTCTTCGTCAGCAGCCGTCACAGTCTGCAGTGCTGCCGTTAAGGCTAGATTGGAGCCTAAAGCCGTAAACCTTCTAGAGTACCTACGCGGAACCCTTTAGGAAGGCCTAAGTATGGCTGTATATCGGTACATAGACGTCCAGAGATTGGGAATGACACCAAGTTCCATGTCCGCCCGTCGCAACGATCTGCGGGTCAACTGCCCCATGATAGACGTTG